ACCAATTCTTGGTACTAGAGACTCATTCATCAAGCAAAGGAATGTTACTCTACCCCTTCATGATGTCTTACTAGTTCCTTCCTTAACAAAGAATCTACTCTCTATAAGTCAATTAACTAAGCAATTTCCTGTTAATTGTGAATTTTCTAATGTTGATTTTTGTGTTAAGGAATGAGAAACAGGGAAACCAATGATCACAGGGAGGCGCAAAGGTGATCTATATGTACTTTCTCCCTCACCTGAATTGCATTACTCTCATCGTTTCAAATCTGGATCAGCAGACACTTGGCATCAATGCCTAGGACATTCTCAAACTATAGCTCTATACAATTGTTAAAGAATAAAGGGTTAATTGATGTAGTAGGAAAAGTAAAATCTGAACATCTTTGTGATAGTTGTCAATTGGTAACGCTTAATAAATTACCTTTTTCTTCTTCTAAACACTCTAGTTTTGCTATCTTTGAAAAAATACATTGTGACTTGTGGGGACCTACCCCAATTTTATCTATTGGTAAATTTCGATATTATGCATGTTTAGTTGATGATTTCTCTAAGTAGTAACAAACTAACAAGCATTATGTCAGGTAAAATAATTTCTTTCATTTTCATATCATATCATAAATAATATTTTCAAATTCATGAACTTGGTCAGAGAAAGGTTTTCCATCTTCCATTTGAAAATAAATCATTCTTTCACAAGAGTATTTTCTTAAACCCCTTTTCAGCAGAACCATATTTTAGTTCAAGAGCGTTCCATAACTCCAAAGCAGTTTTTGTATGACAAAATATTTTATAAATATTATCAGATAGAGCACTCAAAATACGACCATGATACAAAATATCTTTATCACTAAAAGAACTAGCTTCAACCGAGGTACGATCAGGACAATTTTCATATTTTTCATTTAAAATAACAAAAAATAAACTGAACTCTGTAAGCCAAAATTTCATTTGTTGTTGCCAACATAAAAAATTTTCACCATTAAATTTTCCTGGCTTACTACTCAAAGACTTTAAAATATTCATTGCAGACATGTTGATATTGAACAAGAAAGGAGAATTTTTCTCTCTAAGATTGTTAGAAAATTAAATAGAACACAAGAAAATAAATATTTAGATTTATCAATAAAATCAATATCAACAACACAATGAATATTATAAAATTAAAACAGAGCAATTAATAACAACTAATTAAACACAAAGAGCAAATTAAAGTATTGAATAATAGGTTTAGAGTAGCCTAGGTTGAAGCACGCAGAGCGCTATTCTTAGAGAAAACGCCCCCACTGCATTGATAATTTTGAGTCTTAGAATGTGTTCCTCTCCTAAGATACGTCAACCCGTTAGATCGTTCGAGTGTAGTGAAAGATCCCCGAATTGAAAAACACCGCTCCAAAAATATATTTTAGTAGTAGAAATAATTTTGAGAGAGAAATAGATAAAGTTGTGTGTTTTTTTTCGTATCTGTTTTCCTCACCTAGTGATGTATATATATAGGCATTATTAGATACTTTTTTCAATAATAAAAGTATGTGCACCAGTTTTAAAATTTGTTTTGCAAGTTTTCCGGGAACAGTAAAATAAGTGATGTACTTGTGCTAACTAATTTGAAACAAAACGTGGACTTGATCAGAGTGAAAAATCCCAATTGCTTTGGTTTTTGGAATGTTAGAGTATAAAAAAAAAACAAATATTAATTAGATTAAATATTTAATTTAAATTTTAAATTATAAAATAATTTCTCAACAATATTTCCCTTTATTGAATGGAGGAAAACAATGTAAGATGATTGGAAGGTTGAGGACGTGGTTTTCGTGGCAACATGATTGAGGCAGCTGACTGCTGAGGAGAGAAAAGTGAAATCAGTTTATTTTTTAATTTATATATTGAATTACTGTAATAACTCATAAATTAATTAAAATAAAGAGATGGTATTTTTCCCCCTTAAAATTTTAATGCAAAATTGTTAGTGTATTCTGTCTAAAAATATAAGTTAATATATTAACAATTGCCTATAAATAAAAACATTCATTGAGCGAGTTAATTGAGAATGACAGAAATATGGTGGAAGTAGTGGTGACGCAACAATAATACAGAAGAAATGGTTGCAATATTAATGATAGAAAAAATAATAATAACAGGAATTATGATAATAGTATTATGTGATAACTTTATTTATATTTTTTAATATAAATTATTTATTTTAATTTAAAGATTGTTATTTATTATTCTTATATTAACATGTGTTTCTCGCTTGACTGATCCCCTAATTATATGTAAATATATATGTGTATCGGGAGTATATCTAATAAGAACGGGTCTTTATTATGAGATGAAAGGATTAAATAACCGTCATTGGATTATTTATTTTTAGAAAACGCTTTTATAAGAAAGAAAACAAGCTTAAACAGACTCAATTTTATTGAAAAAAATAATGCTCTTAATTTTTGAAAGTGACATTTTGAAATAAAATCAAAAGTCCTAAATTAATAAATATATAGTATTTTAAAATGGAAGGAGTAATTTCAACTCTATTTGTGATTTGTTGCAATAAGATGAGACCCTGTATACCAATATAGCATGAGATTTGAGTATCCATCGACTATTAACAGCTTGATCATGATCCTAATAATTTATTCAAATGCAAGCCTTTGAGTACCAACCAGTGAAGCATATTGGCCCTTCTTGGCCAATAGCTCAAAATGGGTGCCTAGTTCTGCAACCCTCCCCTCAGAACAAACTGCAATTTGATAGGCATTTTGGACTGTGCTTAATCGGTGAGCTATTACTAATGTTGTCCTTCCCTTCATCAAATGGTTGAGAGCATCCTGGACCAAGCGCTCACTCACAGCATCCAGGGCACTCGTAGCCTGAATCACCAATCAAGACACATAAATAGGATCAATTGGAAATGGATTCTCTCAATTAGGATTTTCATTATCTATTGTATAGAAAAGCATAGAATTAAACAAATAACAGCACCTCGTCAAGTATAAGGATAGGAGCATTCTTTAGGAGAGCTCGGGCAATAGCAATTCTCTGCAATTTAAAAACAAGACTCAAGAACCTTCTAATGCGTTCGCATGTAAAATGCTATTGCCATCAAAGGAAAAGGGTCTTATATGTGAACTCTACTGTACCTGTCTCTGTCCTCCACTCAGTAGACCTCCACGCTCGCCAACAAGTGTATCATAGCCCTTTCCAGAAAAGATGAACAATAAGAACACAACTTATCTATTATAACTGTAGTACATAAAAGCATCTGCATACCTAGAAGACAAACCAACCTGTGGAAGTGAAATTATAAAGTCATGAGCATTTGCAGCTTTCGCTGCCTTAATCACATCTTCTTTAGAAACATCTTCATCTGGGAGCCCATATGCTATATTTTCTCCAACAGACACCGAAAACAGAACAGGCTCCTGTAATATGTATTATTTACAAATAAATGAAGCAATATGTTTAATATCAAACATGAAGATTCTTTTTTTTTTTCTCCTTATTCCTTACTTGATTTACAATAGAGACAACCCGGGCCCATTCACTCTTGTCAAATGTTCGGACATCCTCTCCTGCAACTGTTATACAACCTCTTGTAGGCTGCAGAAATAAAATTTACTTGATGAATGTATTTTCAAGACAAAAATCAATGAAATTTCATCTTACAACATAATAAACAGAAATCAAACCTCATAAAAACGAGACAATAACTGTACTACTGTACTTTTTCCAGCACCACTAGGACCCACCAGAGCAGTTACAGTTCCATATTTTAGCCGTAAATTTAGGCCATTTAAGATTTCCACATCTGGCCTTAAAGGATAAGAGAAATACACATCTGCAGCATAATATGAGCATAGTCATTGAAAGAGAAGGAAAAAAAAAGTATACATTACTAAATAAGCCGTGCATTAAGACAACACCTCACAAGGGATACAAACAAAATTCAAAAAAGATACCTTCAAGACAAATATCTCCAGACCAAGCTAAGTTACACAAATTGCTTGATGTTTTAAGAGCTGACATGTAATGTAAATAATTTTTTTGGTTATTCTCAGTAGAAATATTAGCTAAGACCAATTTATAGCTTTCATCATCCATTGTTTTTTGTTTCAGTTCTCTTTCTAACCCATAAGCAAGGGCATCATCAACTGGAGCTCCAGACAAAACAGAGTTGATCCTCTCAACAGCAGCCAAAGTTCCACGAAGATCTCCAAAAGTATTAACCAATCCTTGAACCTAAAATACATGATATCAGATAGGACAGAGGATGAAAAATATAAAATAAAGTACCGATCTACAAACAATAAGAAATAATAAAAGGAACAAAATGAGCCCAATATTAGGTATCAAAATACCCAAGGCCCATGCATAAAGCCCATAAAGCCCAAAAATAGGTCCACTAAGCGTATGACCCAAAAACCCTAATCTAGGTGGTCCAAAATACAAGACCAAAAATGTAAAGCCTATACTACATATTGGAAACAATAATAATGGTGGTCACTATAAAGCCCATGTGAAAGTACCCTAGGCCCACCAAACTCTAAAGTAGTCAAATCTTCATGTAATCTCCTAGCCATAGCTCTAGTGGTTGGATCCTTGGTCCATGCTCTTCCACCATCCCCTCCCTCTTGAGAAGGATTTGTCCTTAAATCTAAAGACTCACCCTCATCGTCACTAGCTCCTACAAAAGGTTTTAGATCACTAACATTAAAAGTAGGGCTAACTCCATAATCAGAGGGAAGATCAAGCCTGTAAGTGTTATTATTGATACGCTGCAGGAGTTGAAAAGGTCCATCTCCTCGGGGACTAAGCTTAGACTTTCTCTTTTGGGGAAACCTTTCTTTTCGCAAATGAAGCCAAACCCAGTCTCCTTCCTCGAAGATCATATTCCTTTTGCCTTTATTATTAGCTTTAACATATCTCTCATTTTGTTGTTGTATTTGCAATTTAATCCTCTCATGTAATTTTTTTAACAAATTCAGCTCTTGAAGCCCTTTCTTTATGAATAAAATGATGAACATCAGGAAGAGGAATCAAATCCATAGGAGTCAGAGGATTAAATCCATACACAGCTTCAAAAGGAGAAATATTGATAATCTTATGGACTACCCTATTGTAGGCAAATTCAATATGAGGTAAATACTTATCTCAAGATTTATGGTTTCCTTTTAGGACTGACCTAAACATAGTGGATAGAGATCTGTTAACTACCTCTGTTTGTCCATCAGTTTGTGGATGACATGTGGTAGAGAAAAGCAATTTTGTTTCTAGCCTTGACCATAACACTTTCCAAAAATGGCTTAGGAATTTAGTATATTTATCAAACACTATAGTCTTAGAAATCCCATGAAGTTTAATCACATCTCTAAAGAAGAGCCTTGCAATGTTGCTTGCATCATCTATTTTGTGGCATGGAATGAAATGGGCCATTACTAAACCAATCCACTACCACAAAGATAGAATCCATTCCCCTTTGGGTCCTAGGGAAACCTAGCACAAAATCCATGCTAATATCTACCCAAGGAGAAGAAGCAACAGGTAAATGTGTGTAGGTTTCATGGGGCATTATTTTAGACTTAGCTTGTAAACAAGCTACACATTTAATACAATGCCTTTGGACCTCTTTTCTCATATGGGGCCTGAAAATTTTTTCTTTAAGTAAACTTAGAGTTTTATCAAATGTGATATCTTGAATCACATATTGGATATGTGAAGGATTGCACGATGTTCTGTATAATAAGTATTAACTATTAAGGCAGCTGGATGCCTTTTAACTCCTAAATTCATAATGAATTTATGCTTCAATGATTTTGGGAAATACTTTTGTTAAACTCGATCAAACATGTTTCAAAGCTTGTTGTATTTTTTATTATTGAAAATGTGAACAATACATGAGAAAAAGTTCTAACTTGTCTGCACATTTGGAATACCATCTTAATTTTTAATCTCGAATGAAATACTTCTGCAGGATGGATCTATATTGGCATGGAAGTTTAATGTAGTTACCAACTGCTTTGAGCCGGCTGCATCATTTACTATATTAAGTAAAGAAACGGTGATATAATAGCTCAATGAATTTACAATTTTATATTTAAAAAAAAATACTGCTGTGCATAAAATCACATAGGAAAGAGATTCAGATTAAGTTACAGAAATAGATGAAAACATTGGAATACAAAGAAAGAAGAGGACAGAAAGACAAAAAGGGGAACGAATGAAGATAGGACAATAGAATACATCGCACAACAATCAGGTAAAGGTGACAGAACAATGGTTATCTGCACGTGGTGTCTCAACCCAAAAATCTCGAGAGATACATCACAAACATGGAAAACTAAAAGCACGTATAATGTAAGTGATTCCATATGCATACCTTGTATTTGTCAAAAAATTCAATCTGCACAAAAAAAAACTATATGATTAATCAACCAAAGCAAAAATAACTTCTTTCCAATAATTCGAAACAACCATACACTATCTCCAGGCATTATCAAAAAGAAATAATAGATAGAAAAAGAAAAAATTATCAAGACAGATAGAAAGATTTGACTCTACCTTCTGAATCAATATTCTTCCAAAGATCTGAGCTCTTAGTGTTGACATAATTTTCTCCCACACTATGTTCATGTTTATAACAAAAATAATAGTTAAAAGTGGCTCCAGGGCATACAGAACTCCAATTTTACTGAGCAGCTTCCATAACGGCTCAGGTCTAACACCAATTAGGACTTCAAAAAACCGTCCTAAAAGAACAACACCACATAAGAATGCATATATAGTATGATCAACAGTGAAATCGTGCATAAACAGTGGTAAAAAGGAATCATAAGATAGCACCCCAAATTTCATAATTAAAAATACTGCAATAACAATACCAATTTGCAGTTTTGCACAACACTATTTTCCATGAGCAAATAAAATTTCATCATCCCATTTTCTACAAAACGCAGAGATTGTTGTATTCAAGTCCTCAAAGAACAAATGTTTACATTACCATATTTGATGGCCATGTAGCTCAAGCAAATTAGACAAAAGAAAAAAAATTTCTTGGTTAACCACTCCTTTAACAATTTACGTCTTGCAAAAATAATTACTTTTTACAGAAGTTCTCTAAATTAAAGTTACCAAATCGAGATTTAAATCGTGAATTGACAGCAAAATCTTTCAATCATGGATCATAATTCATAGTTTGCATTGAATGGTAAGATTCACAAATGATGAAAAGTAACTTCAAATATATCATATAATTGATAAATGATATATAGTGAACAACTAAATAACTTTAAACTAAAATTAAAAACAAAATTACTACTCCCTCCATTCCATTTTATTTGGAGTTTTGTCAATTTATATTAAATATTTTTTTCATAGCACCCTTAATCAATATTAATGTATTCTTTAATTAATGTATTTTTTTCTTTTTCAATACTTATATTATTGGTAGAAATCCAAACGATTTAACAGTATATAGAAAAGTTATATAATATTATTTTATAAAATCAAAAATATTAATTAATTCAAAAATTCAAATGTATATGAATAGTATTTCTCAAGTCTTGTACCAAAAGCGAATGGAATATTAATTATATGTGAGTTTCTGCCTTTATTTTAGAAGAATAGAAATGAAGCAAATTTAACAACCAAACACACATGTCAGGAATCCCGAATACAATTTTCACCTTTTAAAAACCCGACGCAATTTGTATAAAAATCTCTTAAAATTAAATTTTTTTTATCACTTATTAAAGCCTAAACATTCTTCCCAATCTTGTCAGGAAAAAACCAATTAAAGTTTATTTTTTTTTAGCTCCAATTAATCTTCTTGTTAGTTTATGCCGGATATGTCCATCTCTGTCAAATATATATGTATAAATTAAATCAGTAAAGTAAAACATTCCAAGAGCAATTCATGTATGTGTATATATATATATATATATATTGCCATTATGCGGTGTTGTTATTACCGCTATGCAGTACTGTACTCCATGCTGATAGGAGTTGTTGTAGGCCGTAAGGCTGAACTGTTGATCACTAGAATTAGAGGAAATATTTTTCGAAATTCCTCATCCCATTGTGTGGATTGAGTGGCTGTGGTGCTCTTAGAGCCTAATTTGTTGAAAACCCTCCTTGGAAAGCTGACCCTTGGAGAGGTAACTAGCTCTTCTCCTCTAAGTTCTTAGTGGTCCCGTGTGTGGGTAAGGTCGAGGTACACGTGTATAAAGCAACCACAGTATAGGGGTCAGGTCGAGCTATACCGATTACAAGCGACCAATACTAACTAATATGCGTGACGACGCATGGTGTGTTTACTGCTGTTATTGCTAATTGATGTGAGATGTGTGCTGTGATATACTATAAACTGATGTTGTTAAGCTGGTTGATGTGTTGATAGTTGTAGTTGTTCACCATTCATATTTTTATATATGTATGTTGATTCTTTTCACTAGCTTACCCTTTGTTATTTTCCATGTGGTTTGGACTGCGATGATCATACTATGTATGGGAGCAGAGCAGGGCTAGATTAGTGTGATGAGGAGAGTCTGTAACTGACAGATGGCGTTTGATTTTATCGTTGTATTTAGCTACTTAGTTTAGCATTGCTGGATGTATTTTGTGTAACACCCCAATTTTCAAAAAGGTTATTATTATTATTATTATTATTATTATTATTATTATTAGATGGTATTTGGTCATAATTATTTTAATAATTATAGAGGAATATTATTTTGTACGTTTTAAATAATTATTATTTTGGACAATTATTTTGTACGTATTAAATAAGTATTTTTATTAGCATTTTTAAATAAATATTTATATGTTTTAAGAGAAGGTTGATTTTATATGATATTTTGTTATTGAAATTATATTATTATATTTAGGGTCAGAAATATATTATTATTATAGAGAAAAAATATTTTATAATATACATGTATTTATTTTATTTAATTATTTTGAGGAAAAT